CTTACCGACGAGTTCATCACCGAACACAACCCACCCAACCCAGCCAGTGATTAACAATCCGCGACGCTATGGTTGACAGACAGTCACGAACTAAAAAGCTCTCCTTCTCTCACATCCTTCCATCACGAGAGCGTCTACCGAACAACGATACCCACCCAGCCTGCCACCCACGCGTTAGATGTAACATCGGCGCTGATACACGCGGTCACCGCTTAACTCGGCAAACACCTGCCTCGTTAACACGAGCCTTATCATATCGAGAATATATTAATAAATCCAAGACATATGTATCAAACGATGACGTATTCGGTCGTTCGGCTTACTGTGCTAACTACATGCACTACCCAATCCGGTCCCGGTGAGAAGCCACTCCAACTCCGCACGCTAGCTCATCGCACACTCTTCCTTTATTCCTACAGCTCATGTGCCAGCCGAACCCAAACCTGTCGGGCTACTACATCTTCCTTTCGTCTCTTTCGTTTTCTCTTTCCCGTCGATTCTCTCTCGATCACGTTGCATTCACACACCTTCGACCAGGCGGCAATCACCACGGAGGGCTGGTTAGGGCTCCACGATAGCGAGAGAAAAAAACGGACGCAAGCACAAGTTGCCACGCACCTGCCGAGCTCGCGATAAAAAGAGAGCCTCGCAGGAGAAAAAGAGAACGAGGAGAGAGAACAGTGAGAGAAGGAGAGGCAAAAAGAAGAAAGACTGAAAGACGAAGAGCTAAACGTACGGGAACGACTAAGACAGCGACAAGGGCATAAGCCGCCGGCACTAGAAACGCAGATACTCCAGCAGTCACGTAGAGTCCGGTAACGCTAGCAAACTGTGAGCCACCAGAACAACCATGGGCCGCCGCGCTGTTTGACCAGAGGATGGGATGAAGGCATGCTGTGCCAACATAGACCATGCCGCTGCTGTGCTGCTGCACATGCTTACCGAAGGTGAGGAGGAGGACCCCGAGGGAATTTACAGTATGCCAGGTACGTGTCACCAGAGAGCGTAGGACTAAATCAATAGATTGTACTGTGACGGCCAGTCTAGCTTGCTGCCAGCCGCTGATACAAGCGCAGCGGCGCGCAGCAAGCAGCGGCAGCTCACGTCACCCATACACACGCAGCAGCGCCAGCGCAGCAAGCATCAACGGGGTCTACTCGGCGTCCGAAGCTTTCCGGGACTACTATCACGACAGAATTTATCTGCTGGGGCGGCGACGACAGGCGGGACGAAGCGGAGTGCGGGAATAAAACTATGGAGAAGGCGGAGGAGAAGAGGAGGAGGGACGAGAGGAGGAAGGCAGAGAGAGGAGGAGCGAGGAGGAGGGGAGGAGGAGAATTAAGGAGAAGGAGACAGAGCGAGAGGAGATTAAAGAGGAAAGGAGGTAGTAAATACAGGGGAGGAGGCAGGAGGAGAGGGCGAAGAGGTGTAGGTACGGGCGGAGGAGGAAGGAGGGAGGAGGTAGGAGATGAGGAGGTAGTGGTTTAGTAGTGCGAGAAGAATCATGGAGAGAAAGGAGAATAAAGGTGAAGATGAAGCGACAGGAGTAGAAAGAAGAAGACGAACAAAACGAGGACGGGGAAGAAGGAAGCACTGGGCGGCAAGATACCAGGTCGCTGTTACGCCACTCTGATTATTCTCGCTCTGCTATGTATATGCGGAAGGTGTCGCGTTTTACGACAACATTTCGTAGCGCAGAGGGGAGGGCAGGAACCTTCCTTCGTCTGCCGAGCGGTCCCAGAAGACGGCGAATGCTTGTCCAGAGACGACTCCGGTCCTGAGTCGTCGACTATGTTCCGGAAGGTGTCTCAATGAACAGGGCGGCGCGGCAGGTGAGGGCGTTATGTGGTGGGAGTTGAGTGGTGGTGCATGCCAGGTAGCTAGCTAATGGGGGGGGTGATATTTTGTGGTGATAGGGTAGTCGGTGGGTGGAGTGGCGGTTGAGCAGATTGATGAGATTAAGTGAATGCTATAGTCTGGTATAAGGTGAATTTGTCTATGACGTTCTTATACTATATTATCATATCAGGAAAGCGAATGTATAATGACATAGAAGTTAGGCTATAATATAGGTATTATATAATGCGGGCCGGATAACGTTCGGGCCAGTCGGTGTCCCATCTTTATATCTACTGCAGTAGACTCGTACATTGATAATCTCGATGCCGATCAAAATCTCTCCTATAGTACGGAAGCCATCTCGATAAGAGAAGCATGATGCGACCTTCCTCAATGGCTAGGTTTCAGAATGCAAATATTCGGCGTTGCAGAAACAGGTACGCTGAGTCCGACCGTGTGTCGGTGTACCGCACGCGGTGCATTGCACCTGTTCACTCTGGCTGCATGCTGACGTCATGGAACCGCACTCCGCTGGGCGGCGAGGGTTCTCTTGTGCTCCACTCGGTTCGGCTGATATGCAACCTCACGCCGGAAAAAAAACACCGTTGCGGTGTTTGCTATTCTATTTATGGCACAAGTCATCTCATGTTCTCAATCTCAAGCCATTTCGGGTTCAACGATGAAAATGATCGCCAATTGTTGCCTTTTCGTTATCCATTATATATGTTTAACGATGTTTCACCAAGCCCATGACACTAATATCTCGACAGATTGATGCGCATACAGAATTTATGATCATCGATTCAGAATCGCCAGTGACCGCTTGCGACGATGAAGTACGCACTATATTTGAGAGAAGACAGCCTCGATAATATTCCAGATATCACGACGCCCTACTTCGATACGTGATGTTACAGCAAAGTCATTGGCGTGCAGTGAGAGAACATCGGTGACCAGTAGTGAAGAAGGAGCTTGGCCCGGGGAGTATGTATGATGCCGACACGTGGGAAGCTGACTGTACAGGAAACTTGGACAGCGGTAGACAGGCAAGGTGACAACGACGAGGAGAGGGATAGATGAGAGGATGGAGAGAGTAGAAAAAGAGAGGAATGAGAGAAAGGAGAGAGATGAAGAAGAGAGAAAGATGAGAGAAAACGAAAGCGAACGACGGGACAGAGCTTGAACTGTGTTAGGTATGTGGTGTTTGGTAAGGTGAGCGAGGAAGGAAGCGAGAGAAAGGTTGGAGAGCTGAGAACAGAGAGAAAGGGTAGGTCGGTGATTGCGAGTGGTGGCGTGATAATTTTTTTTGGTGCGTGTGGTGTGCAACTGCCTGTGCCCGGAGTGTGTTTCTCGAATGAGGAGAAGAGAGGGCGGGCGGTAGAGGTGAGGACAGAGTGGACTTGATGAAGACGACAGAGAGAAAGAGAGAGAGAGAAGAGGAGATGTGGTGGCGGTAAGGAGGTAGATAAGAAAAGAAAAGAAAAAGAAGAGGTGGCAGCGCAAGTAAGACGAAAGTGAGAAAGAGAGAGATAGAACGATGCGGATATAGGTAAAGAAAAGAATGTATGATGGAGATAGAGGTATACGAGAAAAGAGGAAGGGAGAGAAAAATGCAAAGAGAGAGAGAAAAGAGGTGTCCTGGAGAGCGGCGCGCAGCGTGACGAGAGGTACAAGAACGAGAGTGGATCATATGTGGTGTCAGTCCGGTCGGCAGCATAGTGGTAGGTGGCGGATGTGGTGATGTGGTTGTGGGCTGTGCAGTATAGTGTGTGTGTAGCTGTGTTTGTATGTGTGATAGGATAGTGTAACAGACAGGATGCGAGAGGACGTGAGCGTGAGGCGACAGGATGGACGTGACGTGGAGAGACAGAGGACTGTCTGTCTACGGGCGCGTTGGTTATAGTGACGGTGGGTGGAATGCTGAGTGGGTTGGGTAGACGCGCTCGCGAGGGAGAATGGAGGGAGGTAGGGAGGAAAAGAGAGTTCAGGTCGGGACTGTCTGCGCGAATCGGATCGTTATTAGGATCGTGAATCGAATGTGCGATTAGAGATTTTTTCAGATTGGTTCTAATTAGCATTAATATGTAAGTTTCAATACTTGAGCGCTTCCTCGGCTACCCACCCGTACGCACGTCCGTACGCACGTACGTTAGGAGTGAGTGTGAGGGCTCGGGGGTGGGCGGGGGTTTTCTCCGCCCTTGCTGTTCACGCCCGATGTTTAGCCGTGTGGCCAGGCGGGGGAAGGTCGGGTGGCTTGCCGGCATCGTGTGCATGCGTATACATATACGGCTCTATATACTTATAGTTGTTAATGTGGCTTGCACATGGGTGTGTGCATTTATATAGAGTCGGTATTTCGGGTGCATATGATGACTAATCCACTGCTGTATGTATATATATAAGCGCACACATATATATGTGTGTGATATGTGCACATTGATGAACACTATGTTTCATGGTATCCTCTGGTGCAGCATAGAGCTGGTGTGTGGTGTTCGATTCATACATCCATCCGTACACTGTATTAGAAATAACATATATGTAAAATACATTGGTTTGTTTCTGTATACTAATAAGTTTTTGTACAGAAAAAAGCGCCACTCTACTATTCTTTACAAACCCGTGATTCTATTTGCGTACACAGACTGCTCGGTTTTCTATCCGGGAATGCTTCCCACCTAGAAAGCACCTCCCCCCCTCCCCGTCTATCTCTCTCTGTCTGTGATGAATCTACATGATACGTAAACATGTGTGTATGTAAATGTTTGCTTCGTTTCCCGAACTAATAATTCATTCTGAAGTCACGGACGGTGGTGATGAGAGTGAGATAAATGGAAGAAGGAAGAAAATAGCTGTGTCCACGAATAGAATATTATATCGCTTAGGTCTCGTCTTATTTCTCCGTCTCTTCTGCGATTGACTGATCACTAGCAAACTAGCAGTTTACTAGTTATAGTTAGAGTTATAATGAGAAGGGGGCTGCGTAACCAATAGAGGTAAATCTATTTTGTTTGATGGCGGTTTCTGCGGATAGCACACGTACTGTACGTTTGTAGTAACGATAGTCGGAGAAACGCGTATTGGGCACAGTGACGTGATGTGATGTAGAAATTAATTTTTTTTACTGTTTATTAATTTCAGTTGTCTGTCTTCTGTTGCAGGTAATTTTTAGTAAATCAAAATGAGTAGCGAATTAGAGCAGCTAAGATCAGAAGCTGAGGCACTCAAGAATCAAATACGAGTAAGTATATTGGCTTCGATTACAATTTTTAATAGCTGTCGTGCTGCCTATTGTTGTTTATGTGCGTGCGTGCGTGCGTGCGTGCGCGTGTGTGTGTGCGTGTGTGTGGATGCGTGCGTGTGTGCGTAATGAATATGTGGGTGCTTGTGTGTGTGGGTGCGTACGTAGGTCCTATAATTACATTCGACGATCGGTCATTGTCTAGCATGCACGCAGCATCTGTGTGGCACGCTTAACTCCTTAACCCCCCTCCCGTGCTGGCAAATACGATCAACCCCTACTGCTGCTGCTGCTGCTGCTGCTGGTGCTGGTGACTACCAGTGTCTTTGTCTGGAGGGTAGAACGCGCTCAGCTCAGCAAGCTGGTGTTATTGTGTTCGCGAGAGAGAGAGAGAGAGAGAGAGAGAGAGAGAGAGAGAGAGAGAGAGTCGTGTGTCCCCGGAAAAGATTCGGCCCCCGAGTAGCCGCCGTTGATGCTGCTGCGGCTGCGGCTGCTGCGTGTGTATGTGCGTGAGCTGCCGCTGCTGCCGCCGCCGCTGCTGCTGTATCAGCGGCTGGGAAGCAAGCAGACTGGCCGCACAGTAGCATCTATTGATTTAGTCCTACCTCCCGGACACCCCTGGCAACTGTAAATCCCCGGGTCCTCCCCTCCTCCCTCGGTAAGCATGTGCAGCAGCGACAGCAGCGGCAGCAGCAGCAGCATCCTCATCCTCATCCTCGGCAACAGGCGGCGGCCATCTTGTTCTGTGGGCTCACAGTCTTGCTAGGGCGTTACCGACTGCGGGCGTATCTTGCGTTTTCAGCCGGCTGGTTATCCCTGTCGCTCTTATTCTTTCCCGTACGTTAGCTCTGCGTCTCTTTCAGTCTTCTCTTCTTTTTGCCTTTCCTTCTCTCACTGTCTCTCTCCTCGTTCTCTTTTCCTGCGAGCTCTTTTTATCGCGAGGCTCGGCGGTGCGGCAACTGTGCTCGCGGTTTTCTCTCGCTATCGTGGACGCCTAACGCAGCCCTCATGGATGCCGCCTGGTCGAAGGTGTGGTGAACAAGTGATCGAGAAGAGATCGAGGAAGAGAGAAAACGAAAGAGAACGAAAGGGAAAGATAGTGAGCCGACCAGTTGGGTTCGGTGCGCACATGATGCTGGTAGGAATAAAGGGAAGAGTGTGCGAGAGCTAGCGCGGAGTTGGAGTGCTTCTCACCGACCGATTTGGGTACAGTAGTAGCACAGTAGCCGACGACGAATATGTCATCGTTTTGATTAATATGTCTTGATTAATAATATATTCTCGATTGATAAGGCTCGTGTTACGACGGCAGGTTGTTGCCGTAGCGGTGACCGCGTTCGCGCGTATGTTAGCTACACTGGGTGGCAGGCTGGGTGGGTGTGTTCGGTAGACGCTCTCGTGAGGAAGGAGGGAGGAGGAAGGGAGAGTTTAGTTCGTGACTGTCTGTCAACTCGCGCGTATGTTAGTTACACTGGCAGGGTGGGTGGGTGTGTGTTCGGTAGACTCGTTCGGTAGAGGAAGGGAGGGAGGGCGATTTTAGTTCGTGACTGTCTGTCTACGGGCGCGTTGGTTATAGTGACGGTGGGTGGAATGCTGAGTGGGTTGGGTAGACGCGCTCGCGAGGGAGAATGGAGGGAGGTAGGGAGGAAGAGAGAGTTCAGGTCGGGACTGTCTGCCAACTCGCGCGT